AGGTCCCTTCAGAAACAAAATGAGATTTGGGAGATATGATTCAATGCGCTGTACAGAGAAAATGTTTGCTGCATCGCACCGTGATGACACAACTAGTCGGTGCACAACGATGGGACGGATACTGAATGACTGTCCGTGCAGCTAAAGCTAAAAACGTTACACATCCACTTAGAAAAAACACAGAATGCATGCATCTGCAGGCATGGGAAAAGGAACATGAGACTGTTGAATTTACAGAATTGGTTGAAAATCTTTCAAGACTGCAAAACAAGCTGGAACTGTTTGATTTGGAGAGAAGTTAGAAAGACAATTTCAATGTTAATTTCATGTTTTCTGTAGTTTGTACAGTTTCATCAAATTTTATAGTTTAATTGTATTTCTTTTTTTTTCAGCTATTTTAAGTTTTTGTCCATTAAACAAATTATTCAGGCTTTTATGTTTTATGCTTTTGTCATCATTGATATATTTATGGGACACCAAGGGTAAAATAAAATGTAAAAAAAAATGCATTTTCATTATTTAACTCACTTTGAGTGTAAAATTCCACATTTATTGTTTTTTTTTAGCTCACTGTTCTTACACTTTGCAATTTTTTCGTTAATGTTAAATTCAAATGTTACATCTAAATGTTAAATCCTAAATCTAAATGTAACTGTTGTGACTATATGTTAAAGTTAATTTTTAAGCTTTTCAAAATGGAACACAACCTCAGCCTTTGTTATGATGTTATCCTGAGATGAAAGTAAACGCTAGCACTGCTAACACTTCCCTACAAGACATCAAATTTAACGTTGTGGCCGATGTCCGAGCTACACTTCAGACTGCCGGACCACAGGCATCCATATTGTTTTCAATAAACACATTTTGAATTTAAAATTGAAATACCATTTTCAGCAGTACCGTTGACGTTTGCTTCTGTTGCAGGATGATGACATCATAAGAGGAGCACCCACAGCAAAGGCTGCGATCCATTCCCAAATTCTTAAATGTAAGCTTTATCATTTGGCTGCAATATTTAAAACTTTGTTTTTACATTTTGCGTTTACATATTTAGATTTAGGATGTCATATTTTCACAATTAAATTTAAAATTTGGTTAAAAAATAGTTAAATGTAAGAACAGTTAGCTGAATAACAATAAAATGTTAGGGGAAAAATAACTAGAATTTTAGGCTCAAAGTGAACTAAATAATGAAAATGTGTTAGTGACTTTACATGTTTCAAACTTTGGGCAAGAAACACTGAATTTCTTATTTAAAAATATTTATAATTGCATAACAGATCCTAAATAATTGTATTTAGCTCCATTATTTATTTTCAGGTTTGCCTCAAGTGCCTGGGATGGGTTATCTTGAAGGCATTCCTCACATTCTCCTTCATGGTTTTTACTCTCTGAGGCGGAGCAGAGCCAGTCAAGGACTCTAACACTGGTTTCATCTGAAAACCTTCCAGCTCTGACTTGGCTCAGACTTGGTGTTGGTTGCCCTGCTGGAACCCTTCCTGCTTCAGTCTGAGCTCCCTTGCTCTCCCGATGCAGCGTTTGTCTGGATCGGGGGCTGTGTTTTCTGCTTTCGTGGCACTGCCGATAGTAAAAAGAGCCGCCGCTCGTTGCTTCGTGCATTTCAGCTTCATTCTGTTCTAAAAAGTCTTTTGCTTTTGTAATTAAGTCACGTCTTTATTACCTCCAGAATCACGTTTCCCCGTCAAGTTTAGATGAAATTTTACGATTACTTCATAAAAATGAGCAGACACTGAGTCTGATATGCAGAAAATAGCGCAATGTCTGTTACATTAGTGGCATCATCATCAATTCAAATTTTATTCGAACAGCTACAAAGAATCAACTGTTAGTTTTGGATGGACGATAAAATGCTTTTTAGTTAAACTGCCTGAAAATGTCAACATTTAAAAGCTTTTTTTAAGTATTAAGATAAAACACATTTTTGAGTTACCAGAATTCAACAAAGAGCAGTGATAAACATGTTTGTAGCAGAGGTTCCTGCTCTGTTTAAGACAACACGTGAACACTGAAGCTTTCTGAGAAAAACTCTGATTTTCTGACCACAAGTAGAAAATTTACACCGTTACATAATAAAACTGTAATAATGAACACATAAAAGGTTTTAAACATAGAGCTGAGTAAATTATAGGATGTTTTGTAGTTTTTTGTTTGTCTTCTGCTCTGTTCAGTCCTTTTAAAGACAGCAGTCCGAGGTTTGAACACACCTACCAACGCTGAGCTCTGTCTCTCTTTGAACTTGTTTGTTTTTTACTGAATTGTAAAAAAAAAAGAGTTGTGAAAGAACAAATGCGGAATGTTGTAGTAAAAAGAATAAATGAGTAACACATATGAGATGTTCTCAGTTTCCGATGGAGAACAGCTGTGGACAGACGCCACGGTCTCCTTTCAGCCTTTATCAAATAATCACCTGGAAGGTTTTAATTTTTACTGGGGCGTCTCATCGAGTCTAACTTTGTTTAACATCTTGGTACCTTTAAGTACTTTAAGACACAGTCTACTTAACACCAAACATTGTTAAAAAGTTAGATTTTTTACTGCTTATACCTCCTCCACAGTTACTTTGTACTTCAGCAACCAAAACGACAAAGGAGTTTAATTCTCCAGTTTTTTCAGTGTCCACCTTGCTCCTGCTTTGTGTAGGATAATAACACATTGTTTCCCAAACAAATCAAATAAGGAAATGGAGTTCAGTTAATATGTTGAACTGAAATAACTTTATATTAAACTGCTTTACATGGTGGCTAAGTGTACATATCTTCTCCAGAAAATGCACATTGTCTTTGTTTTATAATCATTTTTCTGTTTATGGCTGTAGTTCTGAGGTTAGATTTAACAGCAACAATGAGCAGAGTTAGCGTAACAATACAAACATTAGGCTAAAAAAGTGACAATATAAAAGTGACAGGATAAAAATCTTTAAAGTACTGTAACTCAAACAGTTGGAAAATGTTTGAGTCGTTTTTGCTGATTCTCCAAACTCAAGACCTGCTCTGATTTGCTATCTGCTACAGGTAAGATATTAAGTGCACATCACTACTCTACACAGCGCCACTGTCTAATCAAATGCTTCCTGTTTTAAACAGCAGCCGCATCTCAACATTTACTTTTCAGAAATGACCATGTGAGTTTGGTCCTGTGAGGAAAAACTCACTCAACTCACTCTGGACCAAAATAAAAGTGACATTTTGGAGAGAAGAGTGTGCAGCAGAGTGGGACAGCATGGAGGAGGAGGTGTGATTGTGTGGGGGTGTTGGGGTGTCTCGTAAATTATTACAGCAGATTTATAGCAACCCCCCCCCCCCACACACACACACACACACACACACTGACTGAATTAAAACAATACAAATAAAACTACTGAAGAATAAATCACAGTTTTAACTTAAGGCTACTAATGATTAACTCTAAATTCGACCAACCATGAGTCTAAGCAGATCTTCGGAGCAAGAAAAGAGGGTGAAGGAGTTCTGCAGAAGATCCTTCAGCCTAAAGCCACAAATGAGTTGGAAGCTGGAGTGAAATACAAGCAGCCAATAAGTTTCTGTAAACTCTGAGTTCTTTCAGAGCAGAAATCCAGATGATTTATTTATTTGAAAGGGACAGTGCAATTTAATAAAAAACGACAATTCACAACTTTAAAAAGCCAAAAGAATATTTTGTTTTACCTGTAGTCTCCAAATGTCCGGACTGTATAAACCTAAAACAAGGTGGTTTCTTGTATGGTTTAAAATATGAAGCATGCATTTTATTTTAACGATGTAGTTGATTATACGACTTCATTTATTTGTAGAATGTAAAATAAAGAAAGCATTAATAAAACAAATATAACTATTTAAAAAGTCCAAGCATTAAAAGGTTTGTTCAAAATGACTTAATCAGATTTTAGAGTTTTAATATTACAAGTATTGATTTATTGTTTATTTTTTTCTGCCCCAAACTCCTGTCAAAACCAAGTTTTGCTCAACTTAAATTTATTATTTTACTCCTGATTTTAAGATCAATRACAAGCTTTTATTTCAGTTTTATTTTCTATTTCGGATATTTTTATCTTTTACTACAAATCCACCTTTATATAACTTAATATTTACCCCCGGACCAACTCTGCCTTCAGATTCACTTTACTGAGTAAAGTTGGTTTCTGGTACGATGTTTGGGTTTTTCAGCTGAACTGCTTGACTTTCCACGTCAAACCTGACGACCTTTTTTCCATTCCAAGGTTTGGCTCAAACAGCTCGACTCTACTCCAGTTTTTTTATGCTTCTCCTCTGTAGGTAGAGCCTGGTACAAGACACCRTTTTGAGTCCAGATGAGTTGATAATACCATGAAAACACCCACAGGACAGACAGAAAAAAAATAAAAATACACGTCCGCAGCGCTGCCGAAGCTGTTTACAAATTCTTGTGCACAATTTATAAATCTGGCTGCTCAGTATGCGAAACGGTATAACACAGATCTGCTCGCGGACGGCGTATCCACAGAGCGAGCAGGCAAACCCGTGCTGACCTGAGGTGAACTCTGAAGCACATCGGGGAGTTTTTACGGCCCGGTTCTGTGGAGCAGGAGTTTCAGATGTTTTGTGTTGAAGGAAATCTGTCTGCAGCAGGAGAGGAGCTGATCTGAGTCGAGTGGAAAAAGCAGCGTAATGATTACAGTCCAGGCTCAGAGGACGCTGCCAGGACTTAAAACAAACAGGAAAAAATAGTTTAAAAATTTCATTAGGTTTTGTTTAGGAAAATGAAATATTTTTATCTAGAACAAAAAAAAAAAAAAAGAATCTAATTATTGTTTTTTATGATTATCGACATAATATACAAAAATGTTGCAAGTGCATTAAACAGCAGTGCTTCAGAAAAACTATAAATAAAAATCTAATTTAGCTAAGTTGATAGGAAATGTGTTTAATTAGTTTTTCTAATTCAATAAGCTCTGATTTTTAGAGGCTTYGGGATTTTACATAGGTCATGAGACAGACCGTTTCTTTTTTTCTTTTCTTTTTTGTGAAAACCACGATTTTAACCCTGGAACTTCATCCTGATTTAAAAACTGAGTTCTGTTTCCTTCTGAAACTGGCGAGCTGTCTCCAGATTAGACCTCACAGCTCTTAACATAATGAGCACACTTATGAGTAAAAGGTGGGAAAAAACTAACCAAAACAAAGTACAATTAAGTAAAAACAGGACTGAGCTGGAGAGGTGKAGAAACAGTTTCCAGCCTTTTTGTTTAAAGTTCATCAAGGCAGCATTTTCTACATGTTCTGATGGGGATAAAAAGGAAGAAGTCCTTCTACTTGTGGAACAAGATGGGTTTGGCCAAACCTGCCAGGATCTTTGGGACGTGGACTGAGATGATTTCTCCGATCATCTCTGGAAAGCTGACCTTCGGGTGAAGAGACTGAGCCTGGACGAAGAGGTCAAACGTAAACTGGTGGAGCTTCTTTACTGTCTGAAACAAGCAAAAGAAAACAGACTCAAGTTCTCAGGTGGTTTTACGTGTCTGTGTCCAATCCTGGTCCTCCATAGCCACTATTATGCATGTTGTACTTGTTCCCCTGCTCCAATACACCTGGTTCAGTGACTGAATTACCTCTTCAAGTTCTGCAGAAGCCTGTTAATCACTCATTTGAATCAGATGTGTTAGACCAGAAAAAAACAAAACCAGGGATCATCAACCTGTTGATTGTGATCAACCAGTATATCTTGGAACTTTACTCATAGATCCAAAAAATAACAGGAAAATTAAATGCACCGTCTCTTTACTGCTGCGTTTTATTCATGGCACTACAAAATAAATAATAATGAACTATAGGGTCTTATAATAGTGCTTTTCTAGACACTTGTGCATTAATCATTCACACACTGATGGTGGTAAGCTACATTGTAGCCACAGCTGCCCCGGCCTTTGGGGCAGATTGACAGAGGCGGGGCTGCCATTCACCTGCACCACCGGACCCTCTGCCGACCATCAGCAGGCAAGGCGGGTGGACACAATGACTGAGACGGGTGCAACGAGGGATCAAACCAGCAACCTAATACTGCATTCCATTGCACATAATTATTTTTAAACTTATAGTTGTGTGACACTAAACCTGGCAGGATGGGAAGTATGGAGTAAAATTAGTCTAAAAAAATGTCAGCGCACAAACTATACATTTCAAATAAACTACTAAAAATGTTTACTTCCTCTGGAAAAATGGGAAAATAAATGTTTTCAGTAGGTTTTGTAAAAGAATGACCTCATAAGTTCAGGTAATTTACTTCAAATGTTCAGTCCACAAAATAAATAATAAATAAAAAATCCAGTGAAATTAGATTTTTCATTTAGTTTTTCTACAACAAAAATGTTAATTTTGTGAACTGTACAGCTGAAATAAATCTCTCTAAATGGATAGGTTAATATTTTACCTATAACTATAAAACTGTATTTATTTATTTGTTTTCTGCTCCCCTTCATTTCGTTGTGTTTGTATTTTTATTGTGTATAAAATTTTGTTTTTYAATGAAATGAATAAAAAATTATAAATGAATGAATGAATAAAGGCTTCCAACCTACTTAGTGTGTTTATTTCAGCTGTACTGTCCACAGCCTGAAACATTTTTGAACCCAATAATGTCCATGTAAGCATATATGTTTTAATACAGTGAAGCTCCACAATGTTGCCTTTCACAGTTTGTTCACAGATCTTTTTGTAGAACAGGTAATCCCCGTAATATTGCAGAAACTGGAAATACAGTGCAGTAAGCAATGTCAATTTTTTCTCTCATTCATTTTTTTTGAGTTTTCAAGATAAATTATGAATAATATAATTTAGACATTTTGTAACAAACAAAAATGTAAATTCAGTTCCATATTAAAAGAATACAGTAGAGTACATGTCCTGTGCTCACACCGCCCTAGAGCACCTCCTAACAGTTTACAGTAAAGTACTGTGTTTAGATGTTAATTGTTTAGCTCTTGTGTGTTTTTGTTTGGTTCTTACTGCGTAATGATTCCACCCCAAATGTGTTGTAGGTCTTTTCTGGACCACATTCAACGTTCAGGTTTTTTTCACGATTGGTGGTTACTCTAGAAACGTGTGCACTCAAATCTTCGCGTATGTTTGCACACGCTAAAATGCTTTTGAGGCTAATTTAGCTCCATAGAAAGTCTGTGCGCCTCACCATCTGCAGAGAGTCCAGGATCCGGGTGAGCTGGTAGAACCTCTGAGGACAGTTTGTCATCATTTGATAATTAATCAGACGATCCAGTTCRTTGATGTAGGTGAGGCGAAGTTCGTCGAAGTACTTCTGGCTTTTCAAGCCCTCGACGGGAACTGGAYGCAAACGGGAAAATTTTAACACTTTAGGTTGCAAGTCCACCTCGGGGAGGGGAGGGTGGGCCTGCAGGACAAAACTCACTGATGCTGAAGAGCAGCAGGGCCTTCATGCAGAGGAACTCCTCCTGAGTGATCTGCAGCAGCACAAACTCCTGGGACAGATGTCTCATCCGCATGCAGTGCTCATACATGGTGGAGACGTGCATCCGATGCCTGCAGACGTAACAAGATATGAATGAGAGATGTGAGCTAATGGGACTGTTCCGTTTCAACGAGATGAAGACATTTAATCAGTAATGAATAACTACAGACAGACAGAGAATGTCAGAGGTTAAATTCAAGAACACTGACTCTGAATCACATTACAACAATAAAAACTTGGACCCTATAATCTGACATCTGGACCCAGATGTTAAATAATCTGTTACACTACAACCTCATCCTCTATCAGCAGTTTAAAGGATAAAAATGACAGAWTATTTGATGCTTAAGCAGATGCTGCCTCTGCTCACATCTTTATGAACCCGATCACTTACAATTTATTCACATTCCTAAGTTGTGAGAATTGAAAAAGAAATGAAGCYGCTCCCGGCAATCGGACCAGAAATATGCCCAAAATTAACTGAATCTTCTCGGTTTGCTCTGGAATGCAAAGGTTCCAATTTGTGATTGAATAAATATAAATTTCAGGCAGGTGGGAGTGGAACTTTAAAACTTACTGAGTAGACCGAAGCAGGAAGTGAGTTAGGAAGAAAAAACAAATAACAGACAAAAGGAGGGTATTATTGAAGTGTATAAAAGAACTAAAGGGATAGTTCAGCTATTTTGAAATGGGCTTTTGTGGAAAGATTACCAACGATTAATATCTTACCTGTTGATGATAACTTTGCCAACAAGCTAAGTTTAGAAATTTTGTGTTTTAAAAAGACTAAAACCTAAAGTTATTTACAACAGTTTTGTGGTGCTGTGCAAACATGGTGGCAGAAGCAGCTAGCTGTAGCACTTCTGCTGCAGAAATGTGGAGTTCACTGTAGTCTGTACTGTGCTGTATCAATCACAGCAACACTCTGAGCATCGTTAAGCTTCGTTATATTCAGAGTTATTTTTTTAGGTTAAAATATTCAAGGCTTTGCTCTGACACCGAGCTCTGTGAAGTGTCTCATTGTGTTTTATTTCTATCATATTGCATCTGTTCTGTAAATAAGCTCACCAAAAGCAACTCAAACAGATCTCTGACCATTTAATGTCAAAAATAAGTTATAGTCCATAAGTCTGAATGCTTTAATGTTTTACTGCCACACTGATCACACTTTTTAACTGTTTTAACTTTTGCACTGTGAAGCACACAATTGATCAATGGTTGCAAGTAAAAAGGTAAAATAATCATAACTTTTCCCAGAGTCAGTTACTGACAGCAAAGACAACATTTATCTAATTTCAAATAAAAATTCACCAGAACTTTTGTCTTGAAAACCTGCTCTTTAAATCCAAAATCCAAACAGAATTCTTTGGTTATGGTGAGAATCGCAAAGTCTCCAAACATTTTAACACAAAATAAATGACATTTACTTTATTGTTTTTTTTTATTTTGATGGTTTTAAAAAAAACGTAAGCACAACTTTTACAAATGAAGCATCTGAAGCATTTAGTCTTGTTTGTGACATTTAAGATATTTAGTAAAATCAATAAATAAAATAGAACAAGGTGAATTGTGGATTTTCTTCCTACATTTTGCTCCAGCAGTGAAATCTGTGCACAGATTACATATTTATATTGTCTATCAATTTAGAATGAATGAATGAATGAATGAATGAATGAATGAATATAAAAAAACAATCGTGGTACTTGTCTAAATCAACAATTCCAAACATTTCAGCTATCAATGCACAAAATAGATGTTGTGAACCCAACTATCACTGGTTGGAGCAAAAACATTTTAAAACTAATAACAAGACAATTAACAGCCTTTATTCAGTTTGTATTCATGTATGAATACATTGTTACTCTTTGAATGTAGTAAAATACACAGTTTAAAAATTTTTAAATCCAATTTTACTTTTTGGAATTCGTCAAGACCCTTACTTGGCTTTCCATAACACACAGTGAGGTTCCGACCCCAACTTTGAGAGCCAATGATCTTAATGAGGCAACAACTATCTACACTAGTTACAAGTAAGGATGAAAAATTGTGATTCTTTGAACACAAATTGTGATTTATTTATTTTTTTCAAAGGTCAGCCTCATAAAAGCTTGGGGCAAGGTGGACACAAACAAATAAAAAGCCAGACATCGAGGTGTGGAAGAAATGAAAATGTTTTTTTAATTATGTATGCCAGAATGAAAATTGTAATTTCTAACAATTTTTTTTATCTAAACAATTTCATAAAATGAATGAGTTGTTTTTAAAATTAATGTTTTTTTTTTTCAACATGCTGCACTGGATCAAAAATTATTTGAGTCACGTTTTGTTCCTTCAGAATTTAATTTGACTGATAAATTCTGAACTAATTTTAACTAGTTTAATGAAAAAAAACTTTAATGTGAGACCATCCATCCATTCATCCAACATCATCCATCATTCATCCAACATCATCCATCATTCATCCAACGTCATCCATCATTCATCCAACATCATCCATCATTCATCCAACATCATCCATCATTCATCCAACATCATCCATCTTTCATCCATCCATCCATTTCATTCATCTATCCCTGCATCTATCCACTTGACCATCCATCAATCCATTTATCCAATTCATCCATCCATCCATCCATCCATCCATCCATCCATCCATCCATCCATCCATCCATCCATCCATCCATCCATCCATCCATCCATCCATCTCTCTGGGTGAATTCTGAAGACACTGAGTGAACTGAATTTCAGCCAAAGAGCAGCTTTCTGTCCAAAAATAAAGAAATAAATAAATAAAATAAATAAATAAAACCAGCTGACTTAACTTTAGCAATTATATGTTCTTGTAAAAACTTAACTAAACGTGACAGCAGATTTAGAATTCAAGCACTTTCTGAAGGGTCATGTTTGCTGCTATTTAGCTCCTTGATTAGCTTCGTTCTCATATTACTGAAGCGTGYGTTGTGGCTACAGCAGCAACAAATGTGCTTTTGTGCCTTTGCTCAAATTAGTAGACAGCAGTACATATTTTGGGATACAATGGCGAAACTGTAATGGCAAAACTGAAAATAACGCCCAGTTGTGGGATTCTGTTTACTCATGATGGAGCTGGTTGTTGTGGTGATTAATATTCTTCAGATCTCACAGCTATTGTCTGGGATTCTCTGACCTGAATTAGTCTAAATGCACAGAGTTATTGGAGTCTGCCTGAGGGAAAATATTCCTAACTTCTAACTTTGTAAAAATAATAATAATAATAATAAAAAAAAACATAAAAAGGGATGAAAGCAACTTTTTTACACTTTTATCTTGCAGATGTCTTTGTGTTTGTGCACAAATAGAAAATTAGAGAGTAAAATGAGAGCTCACAGACTAAACACAACAAGCAGCTTTTAATAATAAACTCCTAATGTTAAAAAAACCTGAATCAAACAAACATTTAAAACTTTACATACTCATTAAAGACGAGGTCCGGGGCAAAGTAAAGCATCCTGCCGTTAACGTTCTTATAGGACCTCCATATCAACGCAAACACCATCACCCCCATCCATGACTGTTGGATGATGGTCATCTGGTCATCCACATGGAGGTTTCTAAAACCTAAAAAATAAAAAATAATAATTAAATATTACACTAAATTTAACTAACATTTACTGAATCAGTGTTGAACTGAAAACACACAGTGTAGTTCTATCTAAGACACAAAAAAAAACAACAACAACAAAAAAAAACAAGCAGAATATACTGTATTCACTAAACTGAGATTAAAAAGTGATTTTTTTATTTACGACCAAAAATCAATAATACAGCACAGCTGTATTTTGCAAAGAAAGTGTGAGTTCTGATTGTATTAAAGATAATATTGTTTTTGTAAAAACTATTTTTAATAAGCTTTGAAAATCATACATATCTCAGAACAAATTATTTTGTATACATTCACTGAAATATACATATTAAGCAAGAAATTTATCAGCTCTCCAAAGATACATTTTAAGATAACCAGGTTTTTTTTCTTTTAAAAACATATTTTACTTTTTATTTTAGGATTATGTTGGTGCCAGCAGGTGGCACATTTGATTATAAAACTGTCATCACTGGAACTKTACAAGTAATTCAACTAAAAACATTTAAAGGAGCACTTGTAAAGCCTTTTCTTTTACCTAAAAATAAATGTAAACATTTAGAAAAGAACTCAGAACAAAAAAAGAAGAAAATCAAAAGAAAAAAAATAAAATTAGCTGTGGATCCAAAGTGGCTCAGAGAATATTTCTCTAATCAGAAAACAACCTAAAAGTTAAATCCAGAATATGAATATTCTTGGTTTAGACCAGAACTGTGCACATCAGATGTTTACAGAGACTGAATCCTCCCTATTAGAGACTTAGCTTTAATAAAAAGACTTAATTTAAAATGTATCCAGATGTGGGGCAGTGGCAACACAGAGTTTAAAAAGGGAAGAAACAATTCACCATGTTTCTTTGTTTGGGCATCATAAMCCTACAAGAGAAGTCTCAAAACATTAAGAACAGTTCACCAAAATCATCTTTAACTTGATAACTGTCAGCAAAAGCTTCAAAACATAAATCAGACATGAAACATATAAAATGAAGTAAAAATGAATGTTTGTTTTCGGCTTTGCTGCTTACTTGTGGAGATTTGTCCAGATTCTCATAAAATGGACTCTCGATAACGGAATTTCCAAATTTCTTGCAATTGTATGTTGAAAAACATTGTTCTTAAACTGTTGGATTATTTTCTCATGCAATTGTTCACAAAGTGGTGAATCTGGCCCCATCCTTGTTTGTGAACGTCTGAGGCTTTCAGGGATGCTCCCTTTATACCCARTCATGACACACACCTGTTTACAACCCTGGAATGTCCCAAACAGGTGATCTTTGAGCATTCTTCAACTTTACCAGTCTGTTTTTTGCCCCTCTCCCAGCTTTTTTGGAACGTGTTGCAGCCATCAAATTCAAAATGAGTGAATATTAGCAAAAAAAAAAAAAAAAACAAATAAAATGTATCTGTTTGAACATTAAATATCTTGTCTTTGTAGTGTATTCAACTGAATATCATTTTCATCATATCATCATATCATTTTGTAATTCAGTCCAATCCCTGTAGGTACCAGGTATTTACTCTGTAAGTACCAGGTAAATACTAGCCTTGGTGCATCTTTACTTCTTCTTTCTTGCATCTAAATCCATTTTAAGACATAAATAAAAATAAGTTGTATTTCTAAAGAAAATGCAGTTTTTGTGTCCTACCTGGCAATCCCTTTGCCCATTTGACCACTTTGACCAGTTGTCTCTCTCCCAGCTCATTCAGGCTGGTGAGCAAGCTGACAGCCGAGTCTGGTTGGCCGCAGTCGTGTCCTGCATTCACCACCTCGGGCTCGATGGACTCGAGGATGTTGAGGAAAAACAGCTGGGAGTTGAAGTTCGGACCTGCCTTCAGAGAAATGTTGTGGGGAACTTCAGCTGGATCCTGAACTGAATGATCCTCCTCTGGGTTTTTCTGTTGTCCGATCTTCTTTAGTTTGCGTGCTACAAGAAKAAGAATATCATCATTTTTCACCTTAAAATCCTTAAAACATTTGAACTATCACTTTAAAAGGCTATATAGATTGGTTTAAATTAGCGATTTTGAATCTTTGGGCCGAGACACACAATTTGGTCGCGATCGCCAACTTGAGGACCTCAAAAGAAAAATTTGTTTTTCAACTATGGGCCATGATGGCTGTGGGATGTCAATGGTTTTTAATTGACTGAGTTGCATTACACTTTCTGACCAATAGTTGTTGTGCGCCACTTGGATGTTTAGCAACTTTTTTAATACGTAATACGCAAGAATATTTGTTAGCCTACTGCTAACAAATATTTGAGTAATGGAAACATAATTTAAACAAAAAGCTAAAGGAAAAAAAGATAATAATAATAAAGAAAACCAGCCAAAATGACCAAAATTGTATGTACAATAAAGACTTTTCACGACTTTTTTTTTTTTTTTTGGTTAGCCATGGAACTAGCTATCCAGTAAAGCATCGAACCCCTCCAAACTAAAACAGCATCTAGAATTTGTGACAAATATTAGGTTAATTGATAACTCTAAACTGTCCCTAGGTGAGTGAGACAGTGAATGGTTGTTTGTCTCGTTTGTCTCTATGTGTGACCCTGTGATGGACTTGCGACCTGTCCAGGGTGTACCCCGCCCCTCRCACTGTGACTGCTGGATATGGGCACCAGTGACCCACGCGACCCTGAAAGGAATAAGCGTGTACAGAAAATGGATGGATGGATGAAAAGCAGCTTCTGGTATAAAATAAAATTGTATTACCRTGTRTTTGTGGTGGTGAGGGTAATTTAATTGTGTAAAAGTTCTAAGAAACATGATTGATTTAATCTTTAGCTGCTGAGGCTGTCAGAGACAAAAAAAAAGTGTGTGAGGGGTGGAGGTGGGATGCTGTTTATTTTTGAAAACAAGATTTTAGCACCAACTTTTTGTTTTGTTTTCCTCAACCAGAAGTTTCACAKCTCATAATGGAAAGCCACCAGGGGTATAGTTAAATACCATAAAGACTGGACCAGTATACAGTATAGGGCAATTTGTATTTTCTATTTTATAGTTTTTCTGTTATTAGATTTCTCAGATTTGTCTACTTTGTTGCAAATTCATTGTGTTCAGTGTGTAACAAACATTATAAGAGCAATACAAATTTTAGGGGCCTATGATCTCAGATAAAGTTCTTCTCAAACACTAGTTGTTCTACCTTTAAATAAATATATATTTTTATTTTTAATTAACCTTTATTTCACAAGGCAACAACAGTTTCTTATTTACAATGTTTTATTAACCCTAAGTATTTAGAAAAAATGCACTTCAAATTGCTGGAAATGCAGATTTGAGTAGATTTTCTTCTAAATTTTCTGGGGGATATGCATAGAAACACTCCAAGGATCACCAACGTTTTGAGATGTCTCTCATTGCCACTGAATGTTGGCAGTAAATGTTTGTCTTAAACATGTCTCAAAATTTATTTGACAAGGTCTTTACTTGTTAAACTGTGTGTGCATTTAATTTCATTGCAATTTATTTAATGGAAATAATATAAATAAGATCGATACGATTTAGATCAATTATCACCTCGTTGTTCTGAATGGGCCTCGTGGCACTTTAGCTTCAACAAGTTGGGCCCCAAAGTCGAAAAGTTTAAGAACCACTGGTTTTAATGATGCAATGATGAATTATATAACCAAAGCTTTAAATGRCCCAAGAAAATATCAAATGTTTGACTTTTTGGCAAAGACGTTTATTTTAATGTTGGCTTTGTTAACATGATACCATCACCAAAAAAAATTAGCTAAAAGAGCTCCTTCTATAACAAATACGTGAAGACAATTATGTTTCCTCAAGTTAAAAACTTTGATCATAAATGCATCATAATTTCATAAAATAAAATGATAAGTACATTATTGCACCATCATAGTTATTCCTTCAGCTGAGTTCATATTTTTACGGCACGCCGCCCAGTTTTTTTTTTATCTAGTTGAACTGTACCTGGTACTACTTGGTTTACGAGGCTGTAAGTGAAGGGTGMTTTTAAAAGGTTTTATCAGATCTGCCTTCCCTTTTCTTTCTTTCCGTCAGACTGACAGACACAATACTCCAGCTTACCCTTACAGGAACGTCATTTTCATTGTCGAAATAATGAGGTAATGACATCCATGAGCCTGGACACCAAAGTGAGAGTGAAGAGACATCTGCAAGTCATATATTACACACAAAAGGCTTTTGGGCTTTTATCAGGAAAAGATTTAACAAGTTTTCTTTTGCAATCAAGCAACCGAAGATGACAGATGTGATAAAGATGTTGATTATAATCGTGATGAGACCGGTGAGGACACAGAAGATAGTGGTCCAAAAATGAGCAAAAAAAAAAAACATGTTTCATATGTGCAGTTTGATTTTGAAGGAAAATTAGTGTGTAATAGATAACTTTGCAGTTCCTTCACTGGACGTTTCAGCTGAAAGCAGTAAACCCAACACCAAAATTCAGTTCAGCTCCAGACTGACTCTCATCATGTAAAAGACATCTTTTGTGCTTCTTCGTCTGTTTATGTTGGCTTTCGTCTCAAATATAGAGACCTGGAGATTAGTTCAACCTAACCTTTTTACACTCTGCTATGCAAAGATCAGGCGCCTGAACCGCGAATCCTGAGAAGTGTTTTAATTAACGATTTGTACTTGAGATGTTTGTTATCGGATCAGGGATGAAAATGAAAGAATCTTATATAATCTGCAATTTTCTTTTTCCAACTCCGCAACTTTTGAGAGAAACTTAAAAGTCGTGTCTAAAACAAGGAGTTCAATATTTATCAAACCGAACAGAGGAGCCGGGCTGCAGCTTTAATGAGACGTTTTTTTGGAAATTCTGCCGGAGGCAGTTGCGTGACAATTAAAAGTTATTTTCTACTGCTGGGTTTGTTTTTTTATTGGAGAAATAGTTTATTTCCTCTTATTTTGATAATCTGGCTTTTTGATTCTTCATCTTAAAGCTACAASAGGCTCATTGTTGGAGAATTAGATCATCCGGTTATGCTATTTTTTTTTTTCAAGTTGGGTTTATAAGTAGCAAAACAACRGGAGTGTCTGTTCCTCTATGCTCTCGGCACATAGTAACCATTTGTGTTACGCTGTTATTCTCTGTTCATTCTGGAGCCTTAATGTTATCAATTTTAAGTATTTGAAAGAGAACTGGCGTGCAGTGTACGACATCATAATGAAACTATGTTTGGCAGTTGCTCAGCACAATCTAATTACTCCATTCTTTTTGTATTGCTCTGTATTCTGGGGCACATGACAGCCTGCTTCTTCAAATCAAGGAACTCGCTTCAATTTAGTTTCTAAGTGCAGTTTCCACGTGAAGCAGCTGCTGTGGAAAAGTGGGGTTTTGGAAAGAAAATGCAACATCRTTACTACTCAAGATGGGGAAGAAAATAAACAGCAGCTTTATTGTTCTTTTAAGGCCTACATTCTTTTATAATACAATATGAAAGAATTAAAATACAAAGCCAACATGCTTTAAAATGTTGTGATGAATTCARTCTTTTTACAGCTCATCATGATTCGTAATGACTCATGATGATTATAAGCTTTTCCATCAGATGGGACTCTATTCAGAAAATGTTTCTGTCTTATAAAACAAGATTTAATAACTTTATAGCTATTAGTGGGTCATATTGAGGATTGTTAAAGAAAAYTGAGATTCCCTTTAAAATAACTGGAAGTTCTTAAAGCCCATGATTAAAGTATGAGATGTTTCAACAAAATGTTTAGAACATTTAGTTGCAGGAGGTGAAATTTAAGAAATGAATGTAATTCACTAACATTAAAAGGGACATTTGGGATCATATTATATTATTTTGTAACTTACCGTAAATAAAAATATAAATAAATTTTAAATCAATACTAAAATTTCAATTTATGATTCAAAGCAACAAAATCAGATTTAAAAGGTAAAAGATAATACTTATCCAGACCCTAACCTGTTGTCTTTATGTAACTTTTCTTTTAATGTCCTAAAAATAAGCTACTTTAGAGCCAGCATTGACCTTAAACTACATCTCCCATAATGCATGTCAATTATTTTATTTGCTAAATGGCGACATCCCACCACTAGGTGGAGGTACACAAGATTCAAAAGTAGCAGGCAGCCAGCAAAATTCACCAAATGCGATCTACATTTATCTGGATTTTCACCAGCTACTTTCGCTGTGGCTCAGTTGTACTGGGAAGTGGGAATTTCCCACTTGCGAGCCATAAATTTAAAACAGCAGGAATTCCTTTTCAGAAAGTGAGAGTTCAAACAACAGTGAGTAAACACCACTTTTACCTTTAATAGTATTTCTATATTTATTTCACATTTAATCAGTTTTACATGTAGTACTTTTCAGTGTTTATAAGAGGACACGTTAAAATGCTGTTTCTATGCAGGAAATACCACGTAGAGCTCAGTTCTTGTTTGTTAGTGAGGCTCAGCTGTAGCAATGAGATGAGGAATGTGAAGTTTCATGTTTAAAATCAAAGTTAAACACAAAACATCAAAGTTTATTACACCTGGCCTTGTGATGGCCAACATAATGCACTCTAAAAATGAAATGTTGGATTTACTTAACCATGTTATGTGACCTGGTTCCACTTAACTGAGTTGAGTAAATTCAAAGCAACATACTCATGTTCTTTGGCTAAAAAACTGGTATATTGCTTTGAGTTTACTCAACTCAGTTAAGTGGAACAAGGTAACATAACATGGTTAAGTAAATCCAACATTTCATTTTTTACAGTGTGCTTATGTGACCCTCTGTGAACATGAGTTTGACGCCCCTGCTGTAACTACACTCCAGAGTCGCCAAAAGTCTCTATCTGTTCATTAAGAAAGCTTAATAAAAATTTCCTAATATTGACATTGAGTTTTGTAGTTTAGTGTAAACACTGGCAGCAGCAGCCAGCAGTGACAATTCTGGTTCTGCCTGGGCTCGATTCTGAT